ACATTTTTTGCAATGATCACTCAAATGTGGTGATCAAACACTTATAATGGTGACAGAGATATGTAAGGGCATTTAACAATAAACTTGCGATGAGTGTGATGCACAAAGTAACGGGGTGTTAGTTGTAACACGTGGTTTGAATATTTATTTGACCATAGTAACATTTAAATTCTGGCTTAAGTAAATTTATCTCCGTTTTTATTATTCACTTAAAATGAGACAAATCTGCTATTATTTTAAATCTCCAATCTGTTATTTATCAGTTCAGATAGTTGTTTAATGCTTTGATTACTAGCAGAAGACACTAACCAGTTTTAAACTCCAGTTGCGCAGATGGGGATGTCGTAACACTGCGTTACAGTCTGCTATTCTATGACATTAGCGATGTAATTCACTTTTCAGTCATCGCTTTTTGCGTGTTCTGAGTTAAGTTGCCTAGCGCCGTGTCTCCGAGTCCGACCTCGAGTGCCGTCTAAAACTTTAACCAGACCACACCTCCACTCCGTCAGCCAACGCCCAACCACTGGCTTCCCAAGACTGAACTTCCAGCCAATCAGCAACCGCGGAAAACCCCCTTTTCTGCAAGGATGACAAGGGAACCCCCGTACAGAGGCACCGCAGATGAATTGGGAGGAGGAATATAGCAGCACCCCGAGCTAAGACAGTGTCTAATTGGTCAAAACACCATTTGGGATGTGGCCAACAACCCGGTTTAAATACTCAGGACACCATCAAATTATGCTTCTTAGTCATGTTTTTTAGCAGACTTTTTTGCGACTAGCTTTTAGTTTTTCGCTTTTAGTCATGCAGCTTTTTAGTCATCGCCTTTTTAGCTCTTTAGCTTTTTTGGTCATGTCTTCTAGCCGTGCTTTTCAGTCATCGCCTCTCTTTGAGCGTGCTCTGGCTTACACGCCAGCTCCTCCAAAACCATGAGGAGAAACGCCACATAGTCTCGTCAAACTTTACTTCTATTTCTTTACTTTAGTTTCTTTTCTTTTCCGTTGAGAGTTTCGTGTTCTGAGTTAAGTTGCCTAACGCCGTGTCTCCGAGTCCGACCTCGAGTGCCGTCTAAAACTTTAACCAGACCACACCTCCACTCCGTCAGCCAACGCCCAACCACTGGCTTCCCAAGACTGAACTTCCAGCCAATCAGCAACCGCGGAAAACCCCCTTTTCTGCAAGGATGACAAGGGAACCCCCGTACAGAGGCACCGCAGGTACCTCCAGATTCTAGCTGAACTGGTGCATTTAATATAAATTTTAACCTCATTGAAGAACTCAATGCGAGGGTTAATTAAGTGATTGATGGTTGTTTAGGTCGATGCAATTGCACATATTGCTGTAAACTTGGGATTTCACATTTTCATCCTCTTAAACTCATTCTTTCCTCACTTTCTCTCTTTCTGCAACTTGTGTTTGTGTGTTATATTAGTTTATATGTCTTAGATTTATCTAATGAAGCCTTATTTATATTGAAAAGAGAAGTATCTTGTGTTTTGTGCTTACAAGTTAATGTCTTAAACTGCCGATCTTGTTACTGTGCTAATTAATAATGTTTTCACTATATTTTGGATATTAATATCCATAGCAGAGTTGATGTTATACGGCTCGTCCAATGACTCTCTGGCCGTCTCAGTGATCAGCCGTAAAACAGTGATTCTGTCCAAATTCCCTTTAAAATCTTAAATGATTCCCTTTGAGCTAAATTGACCGGTTTCACTTACACCGTTCACAAGCGTGCAGCATCATGGAGATGGCTCTCGGACAGACGGCTCACCTGTGTCGGTGTCGAAGCTGACCGTGGCGTGGAAGCGTTTGCCGTGTTTGAGGATGTCGAGCGTCAGCAGCACCTCCGGACTCTCCCTCTTCTCCTGGATGCGGTTCAGGGCTCGCTCCAGGTTCAGCCAGAAGCTGATCTCCTGCAGAGCCGTTCCAGACGCAGGGTCTCGGTCCAGTTTAGTCACCTGAAAGAAACGGCAGACAGACCTGAAATCCTGATCCACTGTAGGCCTGCGCCAGATATACCAGTAAAAAACACTGCAAATGAGCTTGACACGGTAAGATAATTTTTTGAAATGGAACAATTCATCGAACCTTCAGACAAAATCTAAATGAAAACAGAAATAAGACATGCATGCGTTTTATGTTTTGTATCATATTTGCTGCATCAGTCTTTTATGGCTATATTATATTATAATACGGAGAAAAAACTATATAAAATATGAAAAAATATATATATTTTGTAAATTTCCTACCGTAAATATATCTAAACTTAATTTTTGATTAGTAATATGCATTGCTAAAAACTTCATTTGAACAACTTTAAAGATGATTTTCTCAATATTTAGATTTTGTTGCACCCTCAGATTCCAGATTTTCAAATATTGTCCTCTCCTAACAAACCATACATCAATGGAAAGCTATTTATTCAACTTTCAGATGATGCATGAATCTCAAAAATTGACCCTTATGACTGGTTTTGTGCTCCAGTCACATATAGCCAAAAAGAAAGACAAAATCTTCTTAACAGCATTTATAACGGTCAAGTCAAGTCACCTTTATTTATATAGCGCTTTTAACGATACAGACTGTGTCAAAGCAGCTTCACAGTATTAAATAGTGTGTAATAATGCTAAAGGACAATAGTAAACACTCAATTTTCAGTTAAAAGCAGTTCATCATTAATAGCAGACTACTTGCATAAAATGATAAAGGTGTCAGTTATCACTCTATATCTCTCAATATTGCAATGTAATGTTTCTGCATGTCGTTCTCATGTGTAAGCTGCTCATTAAGCCCGTTTAGATTTCCATGACTATCATTAACGCTGTAAAAGACCACCTCAGCAACAGATCTGCAGGTTTCTTCACCCAGAAAAAAAACGATGCTTATAAATTAAACTGAAAAGTGATTTGATGCCTTAATTCTTAAGCTTGTGAATCATGTTTTCCTCCATACTGTGTGGCCCTTTTGTGGTGAAAGCTGGAACTATCAGCAAACCACATCAGTGTTTTTGTAGAGCTGCACCAACACATTAAACAACAAAATAACGCCGCTCTTGTTCACACGACACGTCACTGATGCTATATTAATTTACTTTACTGATATAAAGCAGCAGCTTGTGTAAATTAGCTAAAACATGTGTTGTCTAGGCGCTTCTACGAGACAATGCGAAGATAACAAGATAAAAAGCTACTTGAATCATGTTGTAGTTACATTTTCAAGTTGACTAGTTACAAATCGAGACTGTCAAATGTTCAGAAAAAAACTGAGATGTTACTTTTTGGCCACATCGCCCAGCCCTATGCAACAGTACGGGGTCATCTGAAGGTCAGCGAGTCTCAAACCTTCTGTATCTCCCGGATCCAGCGGTTGACTCCAGACTGCAGCTGGTTCAGGAAGCTGGGATCCTCCACTTTATCCCCGAAGTCTGTGACCTTGGGCTTCTCTGCGCGCTCGTAGCACTGCTTGGCCACGTTGGTGATGATGGGGTGGATGAGCAGGCTGATCTCGGGGATCTCGATGTTCTGCTGCAGGTGCAGTAAGCCCATCTCCAGCTCCGCGATCTTCTTCTCCACCGAAGGGGCCATCTTATCTCCATCCCTGCGCAGACACACAGACACGATGAGGCACGGCTTATGTGTGTGTGTGTGTGTGTGTGTGTGTGAGAGACACACGTTACTCTCTCGTTACCTGTCGGCTTTGCCAGACTCTCGGATGTAGGATTTGAAGTACGGAGACACAGCATTGCTGATGAAGGAGTGCAGCGTCTCGTACGGAGAGTCTTCGCTCAGAGTCAGAACTCGCACCTGAGTGGAGATGGGTTTGTCCGCATCAATCACTCCGGTCCGCTTGATCAGGGCCAGGCTGAAAGATCACGGTTCTCATCAGAACACTTCACATACAGTGCTGGCAGAAATCATTAGAACGCTAGTATTTCCACCAGCTAAGTCACTTATTTCTATCTTTTGCTGTAGTGTGTCAGTAGGAAATATCAGTTTGCAGATCAGACTAATCAGCTCACGGTCTGAACTCGTTACCTGTTGGATTTGAGCCCGTAATGGATGTCGATGCTGATGCTGTAGGAAATGCACTCGCGCTCCTCCTCGCCTTCATCACTAACATCCTCTGCAGAACAACGACAAACAACCAGCCGTTTGTGAGAAATCAGCTAATCTTTATTTCACATCTGATGTGAACCCAGCAGAAGACAAGAAGATGAGCATGTGATGATAAATATAATCAGCTGCTTGTGTTTGTGTGTTACTGCCTGGAGTCTGAACACAAACCCAGCACTACAGTAACAACAAGAACACACTCACACTAACAAGAGCATTGCTTGTGTCTTCGTTGTCATGACTGTAAATCACTGTAATGATCATAACTGTTTTTCATACAAAAAGGCCCAAAAACCATAGTTATATATGTGCCATGGTATTGAGGGGCTATACATCATCCAAGCTGTTGCCATAGTTTACATCACGAGATACTAACAGACTAACATGACTAAGCATCTGGTGTTCGTGAACAATGACACAAGGACTTTTCGTTCTGATGGCACTGATGTGTTCACTGACATAAAGACTTACTTTTGAGAGATGAACTAAAGATTGAGTAAGTTTCAGGTAGGGGTGTGCGATATATATCGTCTGCGATAATATCGTAACTGTTGTTTTAACGATGTGCGATTTGACATTATCGAGTATTTTGCAAAAACCATTCAAAACATCTCTACAGAGCGCACGCATACATCACGTGAAGTCTAGACTAGTGCGCGTGCATTTAGTGTGTGTTCTTTCACTGCATGATTCAGGCTATTCCAATGCATTTAGAATGATCACAGATTCAAGACATGACGGCAGAACATTTATATATTTATACCACTTCATTATAGTTATTCAACTTCACACGAAGAGTGCCGTTTTTCTCCAAAAATTACCACGATTACAAATGTGACATTGAATTCAGTAAACAATAAGTTAATTAAGAGACTTAAGTTTTAGACACCATATTGCTGTTTTTGCTCTATTTCACCAACAAAAATCATCCCGAATACAGCCACAGCACTGTTTTGTGTCTCTGAGCAACATGACGGTGTTTCGTTCCTGAATGAATCAAGCGTTTAAATGATTCGGTTCAATCTCAACGACTCGCTTATTAACAGTGCTTTGCTGCCACCTGCTGGCGGCTTTAATTTCACATTTCCTTTTTTTTATTTTTTTCATGTGTTAAATCATTTCAGATATCAGTATTCAACGTTTTATGTTTAATATATCAAAACTAAATGCATTCATGTCTCGCATTAAACAAAATACATGTGTGTAAATGCATCTAAATGCTGCTTCAGATGCAGCTTCTGTGTTGATTTAATTTGCTTGGTAACAGCCCGAATGTCTTATTATTCTAATTCCCTGATTAAATGTAAGAATTTGACTCAAAAGATAATGGACACTTTTAGAAAAACTGGCTTTGTAAAGGTAAAAATGCCCATAAAATGCAAAAATCAGCTTATTGGAAAAGATGAATTTCTATCAGTATGAACTGACCAGCACACAGAATATGAAGAATATTAAAAACATTAGGAGTCTTCGGGCAGTCGTTAAGATGCCAGCACAATAACACACTCAGCAAAATACCGTCATCGATCAAATATCGCTATATAATTTTGTCAATATCGCACAGCCCTGAGAAATGCACATACTTCTTTGCAAATATTCTCAACATGAACTTATGACTTCAATTGACACGATGTTAATCAGAATCCACTCACTGCTCAGAGTTTTGTTCAGTGCGGAGTTATGCAATCCTCTCATTATAACAGACAGTGTAGACACCACGGAAATAAGACACGCATTGATTATAACAGAACTTTGTGCGTTCGGGATGAACTAAGATATTAAATTACTATTAAGGGAGTTTGCAAATGTGATATTGATTTAATACAACAGTTCAATAAACAATAAGTTAATATTAAACGACTACAAAACTATTGCCTGATTTTGCTCTGTTTCGTCAACTAAAATAGTTTCGAACAAAGTCACAGAAGCTGAGCCGTTCATAAAGAGTCACTTGCTTCGTTCCCGAATGAATCAGCTGTTCGAACGAATCAATTGAATGAATGACTCAGTGATAAAACCAGTGACTCGCTGCCACCTGCTGGCAGGAGATATATCCAGCTGCAGCCCCGCACGATCCAGGCCGCACGATCCAGGCCGCACGATCCAGGCCGCACGATCCAGGCCACACGATCCAGGCCACACTATCCAGACCGCACTATCCAGACCGCACGATCCAGACCGCACGATCCAGACCACACGATCCAGACCACACGATCCAGACCACACGATCCAGACCACACGATCCAGACCAGAAGTGAGGGGCGGAGTTAGTAAACCGTAACAACATGGCGGAGAGCAGGGTGAGTAAAGTTTGTCATTTTGTGATGAAAAATTTGTTCAAAAGTTCAGTGTTTATGTTATAAATACTGTTTATGTGCATGCCTTTCACATTTTATTTCTGAAGCTTTGAATTGTTGTCATCCATTTACCATTTTCGGGACTTTTCTGAGGACAGTTTGATTACATTTTAGGTTGTTTGTTGTAAATGGGCTTTGCGATAAAGCCACTTTATGGTTTGAATGTATTACTTTTTGATATATTTAATGCTTTCTTATAATTCTATTAGTTTCATTGTTTGTTGGTTTATTTTATGCTATTCTAGAGCATTGTAAGTTTATTGACTTTTTCAAATAACAGAGAACGTGTGTTATGCCATTTTTAATTTTATCTCCTGTAGAGACGTACTACAATTCAGAGAGGTGAAGAATTACCTCAGCCCCAACAGTGCCGAAACTGTTGCAGCCTTTATCATCGCCCTTTCTGCCGGACATTTAAGCCAACCAGACTGGACAAATTAAAAT